TGTGCATGAATCAGAGACGTCCTCCTCCCTCTAGAGCTGAAAATACACACGGTGACATGAGAAACGCCTCGCAGATTCTGCCCTCTGGTGTCCGTGTGCTGCCTCTGCAGCGGTTTGCATTACCTGGAGTCCCACAGCTCAGCTCAGCTCAGCCCATCACTGATGGAGAATCAGGCAAATGTCTACTGAGACGCTGCATTTCACTCTTAATAATCGCTGTTTATTGTTGAGATTTAAGGGGCGGCACGGTGGCTCAGTGGTGTCACACTGTCGCCTCACAGCAAGAAGGTCTCTGGTTTGAGTCTCGGCTGGGTCAGTTGGTGTTTCTGAGTTTGCATGTTCTCCCCGTGTTGGTGTGGGTTTCCTCCGGGTGCTCCGGTTTCCCCCACAGTCCAAACACATGCACTATAGGGGAACTGATCAACTACACTGGCCGTAGTGTATGAGTGTGTGTGTGAATGGGTGTTTCCCAGTACTGTGTTGCAGCAGCTGGACTATATATATATATAAAGCTAACACACAATGCCCCTACACACACACAATATTTACTGATCACTGCTGTAATGTGTTTTTGTTGAATATGAGTCGTGTGTGTGTGTGTGTGTGTGTGTGTGTGTAGGAATCGAGCTGTGGCTTCATCATCTCTGCATTAACTCTCTCAGCGCTGCTCTTATTCTGACACACACTCAATCCTCATCTGTCAGCAACTGAAGGTCAGCAGGTCACACACACACACACACACACACACACACACACAGTGAGAGAGATCAATACATGATTAGATGATCAGTCTGCAGTTGGGTGATGATGAAGCTGCTCATCAGACTGCTATTACCGCTGCTCTGATCATCAACACACCCAACATCCTTTATATGTGCGCTTTACCATCAAACACACACACACACACACACACACACACACACACACGTGTACAATTTCTATTATTATAAAAGGCAGAAGAGACACAAACACACCCCCAGTCATGTACTTTTCTACACAAACATGCTCTGACACAGTTTCAGTTCACTATAATCTTCTGTGTGAAGCTGCTTTGACACAATCTACATTGTAAACGTGCTAGACACATAAAGATTGAACTGAAAATTCTCACACACACACACACACACACACCTTATTAAAGGTCCTGATCTACAGCGATTGATCATCTGCTACAGAGCCAGTGTGGACATGAAGAGCAGCAGCAGCAGACTGCATTCATCAGCATTGGGTGTGAGCTGGTGATGGGATTAAAATATGATGTTATCAGTATTATACTCACTGCTCTAAAAGAAAATCATCACTGCTCTTTTTAAATGTCCTGGTGAAAACTATAATTTACTCCACACTGAGCACAGTATCCTTCAGTAGACATGTGCGGCTGAATAATGAAGGTCTTCATTAGGCTCACACTGACCTCTCTACAGCATGAGAAGGCTCTGGAGATCTCTGCTCTGTTGATCTGCAGTAAAGCCTCTGCTCAGCTCAGCTGGCTGATGCTGGTGTGTGTGGAGAGGAGACTGGTTTAAGAATCTGGAGATGTCTGGATTACAAACAAGACCAAAGCTCATACAAGAGCAGCCGCAGCACTGTAGAGTTCCTGTCCAACACACACACGTGCACGCGCACATGCACACGCACACACACACGCACACACACACGCACACTTTGATCAGGTGTGTTGTAATTAGGGTTCAGGGTGTGTGTGCAGAGCTCAGCTTCATGCCACTTGCCCGGGTCTGTAAATGACAGAGACCCTGCTGGAGTCTGTAAATGAGCGGGTCTGTAAATGACAGAGACCCTGCTGGAGTCTGTAAATGAGTGAAGTTCACTTAAGACCAACTTAAAATTCTCCGATAGTTTAATGAGTTCATTTAAAACAGAAATCAACATGTAGAAGTGCGCAGAGCAGAGCTCAGTGTGTGCCGTGTCCAGCTCACTGTCTCTGACCGCTTGATGACGGCCAGAAGGAGCAGCTGTGTCAGTATGTTCACTCTGCTGACAGTTTGTTTGTTTGTTTGTCTCGGTTTGGTCTGGTGTGTGTTTATTCGTCTGTCTGGTGTGTGTGTGTGTGTGTGTGTGTGTGTGTGTTTCTCCGTCAGAGTGCCCCGGCGGCGGTGAGCGCAGCAGCGGGCAGCAGCAGCAGCAGTAGCCGGCCCCCGGGCTCCGCTCTCGGCTGGGAGTTGCAGTAGTGTCCCCCGCAGCAGGAGAAGCTGAAGCTGATGTTGTTTCCCCGGATCATCTGGTGTCTGGAGCGGCTGCAGTCTGCCCTCAACATGCAGCCCTTGCGGAAGAGCACGGAGGAGCGCCCGAAGCGGCCGTCCGCGGTGTAGCAGAGCTCCTGCACCGGACACTCGGTCACTACCGGCGCACACGAGCTGTTCAGCGACGTTACCGGGCAGAAGAGGCAGCGGAGACCCTGAGGGAGGACCACCGGGACACACACCAGCAGCAGAAACAGCAACACACAGCCCATGCTGAAGCAGAACACACACACTGACATGAGGAGGATGAGCAGCTGCGAGATAAACACACACACACACACACACACTCTTCAGCTGAGGCCTGTTGTCTGATTACCTTCATTAACACAATCAGCTCAATCATCAGGCTGAGCTGACCAAAACCACATCAACATGACTCTCACACACATTCCCCAGCATAACTGAGCACACCGCCTCTTCATAATCAGCATCTTCTCTCATTTCTCTGTGCATGCGGGGAATATATTTGATCAATTTAAACAAAACAGGTTTATTAAACAGTTCTATTAAAGCCCAACATCTTAAATAGAAAAATAACTTGCATTTAAACCAGTGATTGCGTCACAATAATGATAAAATTATTACAAACTATATAATTCTGTATATTTCATCTGTTTTCCTGTGTATTAATGGTATTTATTATTCTTCAGTGTGTTAGTTAGCCGAGTTGATCAGTGATCAAATGACTGATACACACACACACACACACACACACACACACACACACAGAGAGAGAGCACAGCAGTCGTGTGTTCGTAAAGAATTATTTTATTGGCAGTGGAAAATAGGTTTCAGTATTTTATTGAAATGAAAGCAATAAATAATACGGTGATAAAAACAGCTGATCAGTACTGCACTGTACATTATTGAGGATTACAGGAGCTTTCTTTAAATAAAGGACAATATAAAGAGAGTAACGCCACTTTAATTGTACAGAAGTGACTAGCCAGAGTTAAAATAAAGAGAGGCTGGGATATGAGTCCAGCCTGCGCTTTAGACACCATCTGAAACAGGACGAGTCCTACATCAAGGCAGATTTATAATATACACCATATAAAAGACCAGCCAGACGTTAGGAGCGGCTACAAATATAAGGCTTCAGTACAGTGGTAAAAACAGGGTCAAAGGTCGAGGCCACTGAGGATTGGTCCGTCTACAACACTGGAGAACACACGCTCACACACACATACTCACACACACACACGCGCGCACACACGCACGCACACACACTCAGGGAATGCAGCGGCAGGCTCTGGGCTAAATCAGCCGGCATTAGGATCATCTGTAGAAAGGTTTGTCCAGAACAGCCCTCATGGTGATGAGCAGAGTATGGCTTCTCAAGGGTTCATTTTGGTATCACAGAATATAAAACACGTACCAACCCAAACATCCACACTGCACTCGGGCCACTAGCGGGATCAGAGCTAGGAGAAGCGCACACGGCCCTGCAGCGAGGAGGAGATGGAGGATGAACACAAGAGGAGCAAATGCACAGACTCAATTATACAGCTAGCGGATTAGCACAATGCAAGATTAAAAGACTACACGAGTGACAGAATCAAATCAGAAGTCAAACAGAGCGAGAGCGAGCGGAGGACACACAGCCCTGATGATGAGGATGAAGATCACGGTAACAGCGAGAGAGCAGAGCGCCCCTGTGTGGAGGATCAGCCGGATCACCTGCACAACAAAAACAACAATCAACAAACACTGGGCTGTGTCCCAAATCACCCTGCACCCTTAACAGTGCACCACATTTACAGAGGGGTCTGATACTACAGTGCAGAGGGGGACTGAGTTATATATTATTTATACATGAGGCATTGAATATGAAACTCCTCAGACGGCACTGTGTGTGTGTGTGTGTGTGTGTGTGTGTGTGTGTGTGTGTGTGTGTGTCGCAGCAGAAATATGAACAGTGTCCTGAGTCATAGATGAGCGCAGCGGGGACATTCTGAAAATCTGTGCTGCAAGAAATCTGGACGAGTCCTGCGGGAATGCAGACTTCCACCATAGTGGACATACCACTGTGTGTGTGTGTGTGTGTGTGTGTGTGTGTGTGTAAGAGAGAGAAAGAGAGTGTGTGTGTGTGTGTTTGTGTGACATAGAGAGAGAGAGAGTGTGTGTGTGTGTGTGTGAGAGAGAGAGAGAGAGAGAGAGAGTGTCTCTACATGAGTGCTATAGATGGTGCGTGTCTGTGTGTACGTCTGCTCAGTGTGTGTGTGACTGTGTCTGCATGTGTGTTTTTTGTCTGTCTTTGAGTGTGTAACTTTGCCTGTGTGATTGTCTGCTTAGTGGTCAGTGTGTGTGTCTCTGTCTACGTATGTATTTTTGTGTGTCTTTGAGTCTGATTTTGCCTGTGTGTGTGTGTCTGCTCAGGGCTCTGTGTGTGCGTTTTTTTGTGTTTGAGTGTAATGTTGCCTGTTTGTGTGTGTGTATCCATCTGTCTGTCTTTCTGTGTGTGTCTGCTCAGAGTGTGTGCTTGTGCGAATGTATGTGTGT